CTGCATAGAGGCAGACATAGAATGATGGTCACCAAGGACAGGGAGAGCAACGGGCGAGTTGTCTAATGAGTGCCAGGTTTCATATTTGCAGGGTGAGAAGTCCCGGAAGTTTGTCACAAAAACGAGAATATACTTAACACAACTGAACTCACTGTACACGTAAGAATGGTCAAGGTGGTAAATTTTGTGTTACGTATTTCTTCCCACAATAAAAAAATTCTTCAAAAACAAACAGAAAACCTCAACAGGCCCAGGATTATTAAAGAAATTAGATCAATTGGCTAAAATCTGTGGGGGAGGGACAGAAGGCTTGTTTGTGTAGCCTAGAAGATTTTATTTTTGGAATTGGAGTCTCACTCTGTCGCCCAGGCTGGAGTGCAGTGGCACATTCATGGCCACCGCAGCCTCGACCTGCTAGCTGCTAGGCTCAGGCAGTCCTTCCACCTCAGCCTTCCGAGTAGCTAGAACCACAGGCGTGCGCCACCACGCCTGGTTAAATTTTTTTTGATTCATTGTATAGACGAAGTCTTACCAAGTTGCCCAGGCTGGTCTCAAACCCCTGAGCTCAGGTAATCCTCTCACCTCTGCCTCCCAAAGTGCTGGGATTACAGGCATGAGCCACCATGCCCGGCTGGCCTAGAGGATTTTAAGGGTGACTTCTAGCAAACCTTCAAGTAACTGATAATCCACATCTTAGATCATTTGTTCCAGGGAACAGCAAAAAAAAGGAAACGGCCCCCAGCTCATTGTGTGATGTCTTGATACCAAAGCCAGACAAGGATAATACAGGCTCAAAAGCAAGCCAACACAGAACTCTGTGTTGGAAAAAATATCATAACAAAGGTGACATTAGTCCAGAAAATGCAAGCATGGCTTAAGATTTAAAAAATCGATTAATGTAATTTATCACATTAACAGATTAGAAGAGGAAAATCTGTGATTAGTGATTTTCTGACTGCTTGGAGATGAGTCAACGCATTCAGAAAAAACATTTTATAAAAATTCAACAGAAGGCCTGGTGCCTTAGCTCACGCCTGTCATCCCAGCACTTTGGAAGGCCGAGGCAAGAGGATTGCCTGAGCCCAGGGGTTCAAGACGAGCCTGGGCAACATGGTGAGACCTCATCTCCATAGTAAATCAAAAAATCAGCCGGGTATGGCGGCACGTGCTTGTAGTTCCAGCTACTCGGAAGGCGGAGGCGGAAGGATCGCCGGAGCCCAGCAGGTCGAGGCTGCAGTGGCCGGGAGCGGCCACTGCGCTCCAGTCTGGGCGACAGAGTGAGACTCCAACTCAAAAAAAAAAGGCCTGAATAGGAAAACTCTTTTAAAAAAATAGGTAGAATAAAGACACAGGAGGAAATCTTTATGATCTTGGGTAAGGGAGGATTTCCTAAGACAAAAATTACAAACCATAATGGATAAGATTGGTAAATGCTACTGTGTTAAAATGAAAATCTTCTGTTCATCAAATGATACACCAGCAAACTGGGAGGATGAGTAACAGGTGGAGAAGGGGCCATACGGCCCAAGGACTGGTATCCAGAATAGATAAAGAATGCTGGTGAAATAATAAAGAAAAGGCAACGTACGCAGAAAGTTTGGCAAAAGACATGCACAGGCATCTCCCAGAAGAAACAAAAAGAGGTTCGATGCTACTAATGATCAGGGGATGCCAATTCCAAGCCCAGCAAGACACTATTTCACACCCATTGTATGGACAAAGCGATTGAGTCCCGTCTGGGTGCTGGTGAAGTTGGAGACAAGCAGAAAGAAAGTCTGTCCAGGCAGTGGGAGTGCTGAGAGGGGTACCAGCATGGTGAGCCCACGTCCCCTCTGATGCATCGAGTCCCCTTCCGGCATCTAGACCAATTGGGGCTGCCAGCTGCAGATGCAGGGGGGTCACCACGGCCACGTCTCCCACCGGCTCAGAAGTGGGAGGGTGCCCCTGCAGGCCATGTACACACATTTTTTTTTTAGTCAGAGTCTCACTCCGTCGCCCATGCTGGGTTGCAGTGGCACCATCATGATTCACCGCAGCCTCAACCCCCTGGGCTCAGGCCATCCTTCCACCTCAGCCTACAGGAGTGCACCACACGCCCAGGTAATTTTTAATTTTTTGTAGTGACAAGGTCTTACTGTGTTGCACAGGCTGGGCTCGAACTCCCAGGCTCAAGCGATCCTCCAGTTTCAGCCTCCCAAAGGGCTCGGATTACAGGCCTGAGCCACTGTGCCTGGTCCATAGACACACATCTTTATGAGAATGCTGTGGCCTGGGTATGGGCTTGTTTTCTTACGTGGAGAGGTAAGACAAAACATTGCAGATGCCTGTGTTTCCTGAGGCCACCAGGAATGTGTGTGTGTATTGGAGTGGACGTGGGAGAAGGATAAGGAGAGGAAGAGAGGCCAGCTGGCTGTAGGAGTTCAGAGCCCCCCCCTCTCCCCAGCCTGCCCTCCTGGGTTTTCTAGATCCTTCCCTGGCCCCTTGGTGGCTGCCTGGCCTCCCCACTGGAGGGAGCACCTTGGGAGAGCAAACTGTGCCTGCCTGGTTTACCTCTGTGTCTTCTGTGGCCCCAGGTGAGGGACCCTGGAGCCCAGTGGTCCAAAGCACGTCCTCCCCACCGGAACGCCTAGGTTCGAATCGAATCTCCATGGAATAGTCTGTGGGCAAGCAACCTCAGGCAGTGGCCATGGATGAGTCACCCATCTCGGGACGCCGTCTCCTCTCTGTTGAGGGGTGCTGAACATTGAGCTCTGTGTTGAACACCCTCGCCACACCCCAGCCTCCCTCCAGAAGCCCATCCCTGGTCCCGCAGTCACCTGAGCTGAGCTTCTCACCCCAAGACCCCGCGGCCTCACCCCATAGGGGGCAGCGCCCAATGAAAAGGAGCCAGGGTCCTTGTGGCTTCTCCTGCCTTAGCCTTCGGTCCCCACTCAGCACCAAGTCTCCAGAATCCTGTCCCCTGAGCATGTGTGGAAGGCACCCGCCTCCCTGCCTGTCCACAGTTACCCCTAGTCCAGGCGAAGCTGCTCATGAGACCACAGCAAGGCCAGTCCATGTGCTCAAGCCTGGCTGCCAGTGCTCCCTGCTCACTGGCCTCGCACCCTCGAGGCCCACCCTCGACCGGCCTCCTGCTCCAGGCAGGGGGAGACACTGGTGGTTTCCTCAACACCACACGGGCATGTCACCTGCAGGCCTGGCCTGGGATGGCCTTCGTTTCAACCTCCTGCCCAGTGCCTCTCACGTTTCAAGTTCAAGGCCATATAACCTGATGACTAAGTGCAGGGGCCCTGCCCTGTGCTTGACTCATCTTTGCCACTTACCGGCTGTGCAATTTTGGACGTCTCCTAACCTCACATGCCTCAGTTTCCCCACCTGTGAACGGGGGTGGAAGAATAACTCTACCCCCTCCTTGGGTCGTCGGGAGGACTAACTGTGTTAACATCCACAGTATGGGTTGTCTCTGAATGATGCCAGTGCCAAGTCCAAGCCTGGCACCCAGCAGGCACTTCGTGGAAGGTTACGGTATGTGCAACTGATAAGAGGACACCGCCCTCTCTCACCTGCTCCAGCCAGGTGCCCAGGGCCAGCCCTCTGTTGTGCCCGCTACGGCCAGCAGAGGGCAGCAGCGCCCTGCCCGGCTCCGTTGGGCAAAGGGGCGGGTGGGGAGGGGCTGGGCTGCCCGGCGGGGCCCACTGGGATGAGTAGGGCTGGGCACGATTGCATTGTGGGGAGGGAGGCTGGGGCTCCGCCGGGACGCGCTCCTGGCACTACTAGCTGCTCCTTGGCCCCTGCGGTGGCCCGCCAGGTAGGCAGGAGCCGGGGCGGGCATGGGCGCGGGACACAGGGGCCACCAGGCCAAGGGGCCTCCCTGGGGCGTGCTTGGGCCAGAGAGAAGCCTGGGTCTGTAGGGCCGACTGGCTGGGGTCAAGCCAAGGCCCTCGGGTGCCAGCCCAGACCTGCAGCAGCACCTCCGGACGCCTGGGGCTCGGTGTCCCCCACAGGCTGGCCCTGGAGTCAGGAGGTGGGGAACCAGGCTTCTCCCCCCAGTGGGAAAGCCAGCAGCAGCCGGGTCAGGGGAGGGAGGCTGCCCGCCCGGCGCCCCACCCCCACAGCCACCCAACCGGCCCAGCCGGGTCCTGCTGCTGCCACCTGGCCCTGGAGCCTGCCCCTGCCACGCTGTGGGAAGGCAGGGACCCCATCCCCAGACACCTGCTCCTGTGCCACCAGTGTCCTGCCACTCCCCCCCTCCAGCCCCTGCGAAGAGCCGGTCGAGGCTGTGCAGGATGGCGTATTCCTTGGGAGGCGGAAAGAGTGCCGAGCCTGAAGCTGGGGCCTGGGTGCCCCCACCCTCTTGGGGAGCCCCTCCGGCGGCATCCTCCCCTGGCACTACTCACTGCCGCTGTGCTGTACCTGGCACGACTGCAAGTCCCCAGGGGCAGGGCTGGGCCCCGGGGCATGGGGGAAGGTCCTCTGGACCGGCTGGCTTGTCAGCGCCTCCCTCTGCCCCCAGCCTGGACAAAGGCAGGCATTGAGGGCTAGAACTGGCACTTCAGCCTGGCACCAAGGCTACCGTGGCTGAGGCTGGTGTCGCAGGGGCTCTGAGGCCTACCCCGTGCCCTTCACGGGGACCCAAGGGGATGCAGGGAGGGGCACGCTTACTGACACAGCGGTTACAGCGCCAGATGGGGAGGACTGGCCAGAGGAAGCCCTGTCCCTTTGTCCCCAGATCCCGGGGGTGTCTCCCTGGGGGTGGGAAGTGGCAGGGAGCCCCCTGTCCAGAACAGCCTGGGTGGGGGTGAAAGCACCAGATAGTGGGTCCCTGGCCTGGGCCTTGGGACAGAGGGGACATTGTTGGGGTGGAGGCAGGGCTGCCTTGGCCCGGCCACTATTGACAAAGCTGCCAGCTGTGAGGGAGCCCGGTCGCCAGGCCCTCGGCCCCCGCCCCCCGCCCCTCCTCCCCGGGGCTGGCTTGAATGGGGCCGAGCCTGGACTGTCTCCCTCCCACTCAGGACAATGCCCCCTGCAGCCATCTCGTGCCCATCACCACTGCCCTGGGGCGGCTGAACTGAGGAGATGTGCCAGGCTGCACCGGAGGCCCCTCTGCCGAACCCCTTCGTGGTGGTAAGCGCCAGGACCCCGGCCCCAAAGACATCCCTGGGAGGGGCGGGGCGGGGCTGGCTCTGGAGACCGGAGCTCGAGCTGGGGGCACACGGACTGCAGGCCCCCCACGCACACAGCAGACGCTGCGCAGATAGAGCCGGGTCTGGAGGAGGTGCCAGTGCCCTTCCTGTCTGTGCTCCCGAGATAAGCGGCTCCGGGCTGAGTGGCAGCGGGCCGCTCCTGGTGGCACGGGCCCACATGCCTGGTCTTGTGGACCCCGGCTCAACTTGGGCCCTGGGGCTGGGCCCTCCACAGCTTCGGCCCCTTCCCAGAGGCTCTGCCCAGCGTGGTGCCTGTCTGAGTGTCACCTGGCAGCCAGCTGGCCCCCTCTGGCTGAAGCTAGCGGTGGCTGGAGCTAACAGGTCCCAGGTGGGAGGCGGCGGCCGCAACAGGCTCCACTGTCACTCCCTCTCCCTCGGGAGCTCAGCCCCAGGGCTCCGACAGGCACCCCCAGGAGCTACCTGCAGTCTGGCTCCCCCCCCTCCCCTGCGTCCCCCACTCAACACTCTCACACCAAGGCCCTCCTGTGCCAAGCCCTGACGGACCCTGACCGCTGGGCCCACGGGGCTAGGGACGGGCTTCTCTCCACTCTGCCCCTGTGCTGCCTCTTGGTGACCCCCAGCCCCCCCAGCACCTCCGGCTGGCTGGCCCGAAGCTCTCCCCTCACCCCAGCCCTGACCGCCTGGCTCTCCCCAGCTGGCCCTGACTGCCCAGGGCAGGCTTTCTGCCCGGTCCCTAGTGATGCAGGTGTCCCCTCTGCTGCGTGGCGACTGTGCTTCTCTTGCCCCCATGCCATCTCTCTTGCCACGCCGTGCCGTGGCTTCCACCAGCCTTCCTTCCCTCTTGTCTCTCCCCAGGGTGTCCCCTGCCCTCCACGCTCTCTCCTCTCTCTGGCCCCGCCCCCGCTGTCACTCAGAGTCCCTCTGTTCGTGCTCTTGTGGCTTTCCAGGGTCGGCCCCCCTCCAATAATCGAGATGCATATCAAGTAGAAGATGAAAGAATTCTTTCCTTGTGTGCATGTGCATGCGTGCACGCGTGCGCCCCTCCCCGACTGCCTTTCTCCAGCTCTTGGACACTCTTTGTCGCTCTTTCTGTCCTCTCTCTGTGCCCCCTCTGTCTCTCTGCTCTCTCTCTGGCCCTCCATCCGCTTTTGTTTCTCTGTCCCTGTCTTCCTGCCTCCCTCCCTCGCGTCTCCTGGCCAGTCTCCACCACCGTCCGCCTCCCTCTGGTCCGTCCCTGCCCGGGTCTCCTTCCCCTTCGTCTCTCTCTGCCTCGGCCCCTTCTGCCCTGACCCGTACCCTTCCGCAGGCCCCCGTGATGGCTCCCCGACCTCCCTTCGGCCTCCGCCTCCTGCTGCTGCTGCTGCTCCCCCTACGGCTGCCCTTGGCGGGGGCCCGTCGCTTCTCTGCACCCAACACCACTCTCAACCACCTGGCGCTGGCGCCCGACCGGGGCACGCTCTACGTCGGGGCGGTGAACCGCCTCTTCCAGCTCAGCCCTGAGCTGCAGCTCGAGGCCGTGGCCGTCACCGGCCCTGTCATCGACAGTCCTGACTGCGTGCCTTTCCGTGAGCCAGCTGAGTGCCCGCAGGCCCGGCTCACGGACAATGCCAACCAGCTACTGTTGGTGAGCAGCCGGGCCCAGGAGCTGGTGGCCTGCGGACAGGTGTGGCAGGGCGTGTGTGAGAAGCGGCGCCTGGGGAACGTGGCTGAGGTCCTGTACCAGGCCGAGGACCCCGGGGACGGGCAGTTTGTGGCCGCCAACACCCCAAGAGTGGCCACGGTGGGCCTGGTGGTGCCCTCGCCTGGCCGGGACCTCCTGTTTGTGGCCAGAGGCCTGGCGGGCAAGCTGTCGGCGGGGGTGCCACCCCTGACTGTGCGCCAGCTGGCCGGGCCTCAGCCCTTCTCCAGCGAGGGCCTGGGCCGCCTGGTGGTGGGCGACGTCTCCGACTACAATAACAGCTACGTGGGGGCATTTGCCGATGCCCGCTCGGCCTACTTTGTGTTCCGCCGCCGTGGCGCCCGGGCCCAGGCCGAGTACCGCTCCTATGTGGCCCGTGTCTGCCTAGGGGACGCCAACCTTTACTCCTACGTGGAAGTGCCTCTCTCCTGCCGGGGCCAGGGCCTCATCCAGGCGGCCTTCCTGGCCCCAGGCACCTTGCTGGGGGCATTCGCTGCGGGCCCAAGGGGGGCACAGGCAGCGCTGTGTGCCTTTCCCCTGGCCGAGCTGGACCAAAGCATGGAGCAAGCCCGGCGACTGTGCTACACGGCGGGTGGCCGGGGCCCCCACGGCCCAGATGAAGCCACTGTGGAGTATGGTGTCACGTCGCGCTGCGTCACCCTGCCGCTTGTGAGTGGCCGCGGCTCTCGCCTTCTCTCTCTGCACCCGGTCCCCGCGTCTCGCCCGCCCTGCCTCTCATCCGTGGATGGGCGGTGTCCCTCGGCATGCAGTAGGGGTGCTGTCCCGTGAGAACTGCTAGCTGGTCCCTTGGCGAGGGAACGTCATGGAGGCGCCGGCTCAAGTCTCCCGCCTGCTCCCTGCCTGCTCCTTTCTGCCCTTCTCCCTCTCTGTGCTGCAAGCGTGTCAGGCCTCCTGGTGCCCTGGCTGTCTCTCTGCCCCAGGTCCCCCCATCGTCCCTGGCCCCGGCTGCCTGGCTCTCTTCCTGCTGGCTGCCAGGGCAGCCCCCTGCTGACTGTCTCTCTGGGCCCAGGGAGGAACTTCCTGCCCCTTCCTGGAGCTGATTCTGCACTCTGTGCCCATTTAGGACTCCCCCGAGTCGTACCCCTGTGGCGACGAGCACACCCCCAGCCCCATTGCTGGCCGCCAGCCCCTGGAGGCCTGGCCTGTGCTGCAGCTTGGGCAGCCCGTCAGTGCCGTGGCGGCCCTCCAGGCAGATGGGCACACGATAGCCTTCCTGGGGGACGCCCAGGGCCAGTTACACAAGGTGAGGGCCTGGCGGGGCACTGTCCTCCTGCAGCCCCCAGACTGCTGGGCTGGGCCCAGGCTCGCTGCCTGTCCGGGTGTCCCCCTACCCTCTCGGCTCAGAGAAGCCCCCAGCACCTTCTGTCACTTAACCTGCATCCTGCTGGCAGGTCAGAGGGCCTCGCCACATACTGACTGCTGTCTGGGCGCCACCTCCTGCAGCCATGCCTTCTCCAGCCCCCCCACTCCAGCCGATGCATCCCTTGGTCAAGGTTGGGGTGGGGGGTGGCATGGGGTGGAGCAGGTAGGGCCGGTGCTCAGAGCCAGACTGGCCCCAGGAGTCTCTCGGTGGCAACCTCTTGCCTCCTGGTGACTTGCTCGTCTCCCTGCAGCTGCCATCCGCTGGCAGAACAGTCCCTGGTATCTGAGGGCCTCACCCAGGGTGCCCCTGCTGCCCCAGAGTCATGGCTCCCGATGACGTCCTAGCCCTGAGGGTGCTGACTGAGGGAAGCCATGAGCCCCTCGGTGGCCCAGCAGGAAGGGAGCTGGCTCTGGGGTACAGGGTGCTCCCTGGGAGTCGTTCTATCTCTGCAGGGGACCCCATCGGGAGGAGAGGGTGGCCCCTGAATGGTCAGCCTTTGGCCGTCTGGAGAGCTAGCCTTGGCTCGGCCCAGTACTGTCCTTGTCCCCCACCCAGGTCTTTCTCAACGGCTCCCAAGGCCAAGTGTACCACTCCCAGCAAGTGGGGCCTCTGGGCTCGGCCATCAGCCCAGACCTGCTGGTGGACAGCAGTGGCAGCCACCTCTACGTCCTGACCGCCCAACAGGTGAGGGGCGTCCTAGGGTGGGGCTCGGGCACACACGGCCCGAGTCTCGACCCCACCGCCTCTCTCCCCACCGCCTGTCCAGGTGGATCGGGTACCCGTGGCGGCCTGCCCCCAGTTCCCCAATTGTACCAGCTGCCTCCAGGCCCAGGACCCGCTGTGCGGCTGGTGTGTCCTCCAGGGCAGGTGAGCACAGGGCCTGTGCCCAGGCTTGGGCCAGCAGGTGGCCTTCACTGGGAGGCTGCCCCCGGAATTGGCCCTAGGTGTGCCAGGAGGCCAGCCCTGCCAGTGGAGGAGAGACTCAGGGCCAGGGCCCCGTCCCCATCCCACCAAGCCGTGAGCCTGCTTGCCATCTCCTCCGCCATCACACTCGTTCGGCCCTCCTCCCAGCAGCCCCGCCCAGCCCAAGACCCCCACATAGCTCCCCTTCAGCCCACACTCCACACAGCGGCCCCAGGGATCCCTCAAGGCAACCCGAAGTCAGATTGCACGCCCTCCCACCCCAGTGGCTCCTCTCGCCACAGTCAAGCCCACAGCCCGTGCTTGGCCTCGAAGCCCCATTTGCTTGGCCCATTCCCCTCTCAGCACAGCCCCTTTCGTGCCCCCTGCTCTCTGCGCTCCAGCCGGGCCGTCCCCTCAAGCCCCCTGCTGCAGGTCATCCGGGGACCCTGAGACTTGCCCAGTGACCCGAGGCGCCCTGCCCGGCAGGTGTACCCGGAAGGGCCAGTGCAGGCGGGCGGAGCAGCCCAACCAGTGGCTGTGGAGCTACGAAGAGGACAGCTACTGCCCGCGCATCCAGAGCCTGCTGCCAGGCCACCACCCCCGCCAGGAGCAGGGCCAGGTGCGGTGCCCCTGCCCGGCCCTCTGGCTGCTCCTGTCCCCCGACTCCCCACGCTACTCTGGCTCCATCTCCTTGTTGCTCTCCTACGTGTCTCAGATCACCTTGTCGGTCCCCCGGCTCCCCACCCTGGATGCGGATGAATACTTCCATTGTGCTTTCGGGGACTACGACAGCCTGGCTCACGTGGAAGGGCCCCGCGTGTCCTGTGTCACCCCTCCCCAAGACCAGGTGCCGCTTAACCCCCCAGGCACAGGTGAGGGGGCCCCTGGGGCTGGGGGCTGCGGGGGAGCTGGAGAGGGCAGGAGCCACATGACCTGCCCTGTCCCCGCCGTCCCCTCCCAGACCATGTCACTGTGCCCCTGGTCCTGATGTTTGGCGACGTGGCTGTGGCCGCCACCAGCTTCTCCTTCTACGACTGCAATGCCGTCAAGGCCTTGGAGGTGGCTGCTCCGTGAGTTACTGGGCCTGCCTCCTTCGGGGCAGGGGTAGCGGCCCCAGATGTGCCCAGCTGAGTAGCCCCTCCCCCCAGGTGCCGTGCCTGTGTGGACAGCCTCTGGCGGTGCCACTGGTGCCCCCAGAGCAGCCACTGTGTGTACGGGGAGCACTGTCCAGAGGGCGAGAAGACCATCTACAGTGCCCAGGAGGTGGGTGGTCCGCTTGCTCAGCCTCCCGTGGGAGCCCTGCCCCTCCTACACGCTGCCCAGGCCCAGCTGGGCATCGGGCTCCTCAAGTTCTACAAGGTGGGGTCTCGTTTTCCCAGGTGGATGTCCAGGTGCGTGGCCCAGAGGCCTGTCCCCAGGTAGAAGGCCTGGTAGGGCCCCACCTGGTACCCGTAGGCTGGGAGAGCCGTTTGGCCCTGCACGTGCGGAACCTTCAGCATTTCCAAGTGAGTTACCAGGCAGGTGGGGGCAGGGATGGGGGTGGCGACAGTGCCTAGTGTCCTGACAGCGTCCTCCCCAGGGCCTGCCTGCCTCCTACCACTGCTGGCTGGGGCTGCCCGGAGACCTGCAGAGACTGCCGGCCACCCTGGAAGAGACAGCGGGGGACGCAGGCCTCGTCCACTGCCAGGCCCACCAGGTGGGGGCTAGCCCGCAGTCACGCCCCCTGCAGCTCTCAGACGCTCCCCAGCTTTCCCCTACCCCTCAGGCTCTGGGCATGCTGACCCTGCCCTCCGCCCACAGTTCCACCCCTCCATGTCTCAGCGGGAGCTTCCAGTGCTCATCTACGTCACCCGGGGCGAGGCCCAGCGGCTGGACAGTGCCCGCACTCTCCAAGGTGAGCCTGGGGGCGGCGGGGCAGGTGTGGGGGCAGGGGGCGTGTGCCACAGGAGGCGCTCAGCCTGTATGACCTTCCCTAGTGACCCTGTATGACTGCGCCGTGGACCACCCGGACTGCAGCCACTGCCAGGCGGCCAACAGGAGCCTGGGCTGCCTGTGGTGCGGCAACGGCCAGCCCTCCTGTCGCTATGGGCCATTGTGCCCGCCGGGGGCCGTGAAGCTTCTGTGCCCTGCGCCCAGCATTGACGCGGTGAGGCGCCCCCTCCAGGGTTGAGTTCACATCTCCTGCCGGGTCCCCAGGGCTATCCCACTTCTCCCTCCCGCCCCCACCACCCTGTCATACGGTGGTCGGGCAGACCAGCCCTGCCTCAGGCCCATGCCTCAGCAGCTCGGCTGGCCTCGGGCTGGTTGGCTGGCCGGGCATCCCCTGCTGTAGAGCGGGGTGTGGGTTTGGGAGATGCCATCTGCCACCCTTCCCTGTTGCAGATTGAGCCCCTGACCGGCCCCCCCGAGGGTGGCTTGGCCCTCACCATCCTGGGCTCCAACCTGGGCCGGGTCTTTGACGACGTGCAGGACGTTGTGAGCGTGGCTGGCCGGCCCTGCAGGCCCGACCCCTCTCTCTACCGCACCTCTACCCGGTGAGGTGCCTCGGGGGGAGGCGAGGATGTGTGGGACGCCCTCAGAAGCCAGCCACCCGGAAAGAAGGGAGACCTGGCCAGGAAGCGTGGGGCCCGGGGTCAGAGCCCAGAAGGAAAACACGCAGGGGAGGGGAAGGGGCAGAGAGACGAGGGGAGGGGGGGCTCCGGCTGCCCACAGCTCCTGCGGGCCCTGAGCGGCTCCTGGCCTCCTCAGGATCGTGTGTGTGACATCTCCTGCCCCCGATGGCACCACTGGGCCAGTTCAGGTGGCCATGAAGAGTCAGCCACCAGGCATCTCGACCCAGCACTTCACCTACCAGGTCAGTGTCCCCCGGGTGGTCTCAACGCAGGGGATGCTGGGAGGGAGGTCTGGAGGGGCAGACACCGAGGCAAGGATGTCGAGCCATATCGCTGGTAGCAGGAGGTGCTGCTGCGTGGCCCGGAGGGAAGTTGCCCTACCTGGGTGGGGGACAGCCCGGGGGCAGTGGCAGCTGTCCAGGAGGGATGCCGGCAGCGGGGCCAGTCGGGCACAGAGCTGTTGGGGCTTGCCTCGGGCCTGGCTGCTGGTGGCGCAGGGGGAAGGGGGAGAATGGGCACTCCTCCAGGCGCTAGCCTGAGCCCCGGACGTTTCTGGAGTGGGAGGCACCAGACAATCGGATCTCGGGATTTAGAGCTCGGGGGCCTGGCGGGTACAGGCTGTGGCGGGGTGGAGGCTGCCCCGAGGGAAGGACACTGGCAGTGAGGATGAACAAGCGACGGAGGAGAGCTGGCCAGCATGCAGGGCAGAAGCCCAGCACTGTGCACCGGGAGAGGGGCTGGGTCGGCTGCAGCCCCAGAGCCTCGGGGCAGACCCGAGGTGAGGAAGCAGCAGGCCAGGCGGCTGTGCCAACCCCGGCTACTCTGTTCCCCAGGACCCCGTCCTGCTGAGTCTGAGTCCTCAGTGGGGCCCTCAGGCAGGGGGCACGCAGCTCACCATTCACGGGCAGCACCTCCAGACAGGCGGCAACGTCAGCGCCTTTGTGGGTGGCCAACCCTGTCCCATGTGAGTGTCTGGCCCTGCCTGCCCTCCTGGTCCCGGCCTGGCTGCTGTTGGGTGGTGGGCACTCCCTGTAGGCCTCAGTGTTCCCTTCTGTACAGTGGGGGAGGCGGATTCAAAACCTCCTAAGGTCCTCATCAAATTCTAAGAGAAATGGCTGTCGTGTCCACCCCCAGTAGTATCTGCCCTTGTTGAGGGCAACAGCGTGGGCTTCTCCTGGGGGCTGGGCCAGGGCCGGGGCCGAAAGGCGGTAGTTGCGCCCAAGATGAGCGCCCCCTACCCCTTGCAGCCAGGAGCCAGTGTGCCCTGAGGCCATCGTGTGCCGCACCATGCCCCAGGCTGACCCAGGCGAAGCAGTGGTCCTCGTGGTCTTCGGCCACGTCCAGCGCACACTGCTGGCTAGCCCGTTCCGCTACACTGCCAATCCCCAGCTCATGGCAGCAGAGCCCAGCGTCAGCTTCCGGGGGTGAGGAGCTTGGCTTACCTGTGGGCTAGCCTGTGCACCATGCCAGAGGGAAGACAGGGAGCCGGGGCGGGGCTGGGCCGCCCACCGCCCGTCTGCCCCTGACTGCCGTCCTGGCACAGGGGCGGGCGGCTGATCCGTGTCAGGGGCACGGGCCTAGACGTGGTGCAGCGGCCCCTGCTGTCGGTGTGGCTGGAGGCCGAGGCAGAAGTGCAGGCGTTGGGGGCCCAGCCCCAGGACCCGAGCCCAAGGCAGAGCTGCGGGGTCCCCGCTGTGGACCTCCAGGCTTGTATCCAGCTTGGGAGGGGCTTGCTGCAGGTGAGCCCCCTACCAACAGGCGGCAGGGCTGCCCCCAGGCCGTGCCCAGCGAGGATGGGGGTGGGCCGCCATGCGCC